CCATCCGCTGTGACAAATAAATTCATTCCTCACCTTCTATTGCATAAATCCCCTCCATCATATTCTTTTCTTCATGTCTTTGGTTGTCTGTGCTATCCTTATTTGCGTCCCTACAATCGTCATTAGATGTCTTACAAGTCTTCTCCATGTGTCTTCCTAGGCTACCCTGAGTCATTTAGGGGTATAGGTGCATGGACCTTCAGACTAACAAGGGTATATATATATATATATATATATATATATATATATATATATATATATATATATATATATATATATATATATATGCAGGCATGTTTGATTTGATGAGAATGTTTTTCTTTTGGCAAGATAATTTTGCAGGCACCACCAGTTCACACGGCTCAACCATGGGCTGAGTCTATACTTGTTCCAGCATCATCATCCGTCTTGGCTCAACCGGTCTCGCCTGAACCGGTTTCGGCCAGCAGTGAGTCCAGCCGGCCAGAACCGGCCCAGGATGGGCCCTCGGTAGACACCGAACCTGCTGTTGCTCAGCGACGCCGTGGCCAGCCGAGAGGTCAGTCGTCGCTCCCCACGGTTCGGACTCACTCCATGGCCACTCGTAGTCACGCTGATGGTCCTTTCTTGGCTCTATCAGCCCAGGTTTGCCCTACTGAACCTACTTGTTATACATAGACTGTTAAACATGATGAATGGCGCAAGGCTATGGATGATGAATTTAATGCGCTCCTTCATAATGAAACCTAGTGTCTTGTCCCATCTCAGTCTAATATGAATATTATTGGGTGTAAATGGGCTTTTCGCACCAAAAGGAAAGTTGATGGGACAATGATCGTTACAAAGCAAGGTTGGTAGCAAAAGGATTTAATTAGGTACCCGGTCAGGATTTTTTTGACACATTCAGCCCAGTGGTCAAACCAACTACTATCAGATTACTTCTATCTTTGGCTATATCATCTGGTTGGGTTATTAAACAGCTTGATGGGCATAATGCTTTCTTGAATGGGTCTTTATTTGAGACTGTCTATATGAAGCAACCACCAGGATACATTGATAAACAATTTCTCAATCATGTTTGTCTATTGAAAGATTCCCTATATGGATTAAAACAAGTCCCCAGAGCTTAGTTTAATCGCTTACACACCTTCTTGATGGCAGCAGGTTTTAAAGCTTCAAAAATAGATGTATCTTTGTTTTAATACTCATAGGGTTCAGGTTTCATTTATGTTCTTATTTATGTTGATGACATTCTCGTAATGGGCAATGATCAAGGTCTTATCAGCTCCCTTATAACTGCTCTATCATCTACATTCAAGATTAGGGATCTTGGTGAACCTGGTTTCTTCCTAGGGATTGAAACAATCAACTGTAAGGATGGAATTTTGCTCTCTCAGCAAAGATACATGACAGATATCTTAAAACGTGCTAGCATGACAGACTATAAACCTCTAGCCACTCCTATGTCTGGTTCTAAACCTACTATCTCTAATGCTGATTTATATGACGATGCCACACACTATAGATGTCTGGCAGGTGCTTTACAATATCTTACAGTTACCCGCCCAGACTTGTCTTTTGCAGTAAATCAGCTGTGTTGATCAGCACATGCATGCGTATACAGTCTCGCATTGGGAACAATTGAAGCATGTTCTAAGGTATGTAAAGGGAACTATCACTTCTGGTTTGCGAACTCGGAGATCAGTATCCAGAGAATTACATGCTTTCTCAGCTTCTGATTGGGCTAGCTGTCTTGAAGATCATAAATCAACCAGTGGGTATGCAGTTTTTCTTGGTTCTAATCTTATATCGTGGGTATGCAAGAAGCAACGGACTGTTGCTAGATCATCTACTAAAGCCAAGTATAAAGCTTTAGCAGATGTCTGTGCCGAGGTAATCTGGACTCTCTCACTCCTACGAGAAATTGACATAACCGATGTGCCCGCTCCCAAGCTTTGGTGTGATAATCTTGGAGCTACATATATGTGTGCAAACCCTATCTTTCATGCTATAACCAAGCATATAGAAATTGACTACCATTTTGTTAGAGACAGAGTTGCGAATGGTGATATACAGGTTAACTTTATTTCAACCAAGGATCAGTTGGCAGATATCTTTACAAAGGTTTACCTGGTCCTCGGTTCTCATTTGTTAGGGACAAGCTACAAGTCACCAGTATACCTGGTGCTTGAGGGGGAGTATTAGGACTCTATGTATTTGAGTTTGATTATGATTCCATATCCCAGTCTCTAAGACTTCCTTCTTATATATACTTGTAATTTGTACATTGTATCATTCTATTCAATACACAACTCTATTAGCTCTCATCTTTTCGTAAAGGATGCGTTGCATGTCTATCTCGTGGAAGAACTGGAATAAATAAGTGTTTGTTGCAAGCTCCTGCACTGCCATTCCTTTGCCCGGGCGCCAAACATCAGTCAGGGTGTCTCTCATGAAAGCAAACTTGGTTGTTTTGTCAGTAATGAGCCGTCCAAACAGGTAGAAATGATAATCATCATGTTCGTTCTCGCTTTTGTCACCGAGAACAAGACCCCCCCTGTTCATTAATTGTCATTGATATCAAGTGCGGCACAGACAGTTTCAAGAGTTTGGATGTGTGGGTTTGGTGGTGCTTGTGGGTTAGATGATTCACATTGTTGGTAAGCCATCGTGGGAGGAGAATGAAAAAGGTTGAGGAACAGGGTAAAGGATGATGAAGGAAAAAAGAGGCTTGTTACTAGGAACAAGATACGAAAAAAACAAAAAAAAAAAAAAAAAAAAGGCTTGTTAATTACTAGGAACAAGGACGAAGGCTAGTCATGAGAGAAGTTAGAGAGAGAATCCTCTCATTTTACTTGGTTAAAGCTTTTTGGGTTATACCTAGCATCAGTATTGATAGATCGATATTATATACTTTCTCTAAGAATGAGCAATACTACATCGAATTGCGAATATTATGAAATAATTATATGAGATAAAGCAGCCAACTACTATGTAATGTGATGACACATCTCTTACCATTCTCAATGAGTGATCCTCGTAAAAAATCATGAGTGTTTCAAAAAAAAAATGCAATATAAATGAATTATATAATGCGACACTCCTTTACAAGTTAGAACTATACATAATAATCACTCTCTAACGTAGCACTATTATGTGGGTGGATTTAATTTTTATGTATTTAATCAATACGTAATATTAAAGTGTGATAATATCAACCAATTCATAAATAATTAATGAATATAAATAGTACGTTTTTCTTTTGTATGCCTCATAATGTGACATGAAAACATAATTGTTATAAAATGATTTTAATAGGAGAAAATAACATTAATACTTGGTCAAAAATCATACTAGCATAGAGTCAAAATTATAGAAAGCATGCAAATAAAATGCATAGTATGTATAGGCATAGCCGCATAGGCATGCAAGAAAGAATGTAATGTTGGAGGATGAAATAAATGCGTTATTAATTCAAGGTCTTCCACTTTTTCTAAGCCAATAAATAATTCTCTCAAATGGTCCACTACATATGGTGGAGGATTATTACTGCACGAATCTCAAGAAGAATGTTTGTTGCAGACTAGTAGTTGATGATTTCCAACCCAACCAATTGCAAAAACTAAGTTTCAATACTAAAATTAACATCCCATGCTGTTCCATTGCATGCTTGCATTATTCTAATTAAGTGCTTTAATGATGTGCACAATTTTGAAAAAATATTTTGACAAAATGCTGCCTTATGACTTATGCATTAAATATACACTTAAACTTTTGTGTCATTATTACCCATTAACCTTTATCAACCATACACATCCACCCAATTACATACCCTTTTATTTGCAACACAATTTATTACTAAAAATGAATGAAATGTTGATAATGCCAAAGTGCAACTCATCAAGAGTGTAATGAGACATACAATAATGCTGAAATAACACCCGCCCCACTGTTTTAAACTGACTACTAAAAAAAATATGATATTCTCATCAAATGAGAATCATGCCTTAAACACATACCTAAATTAAATGTTTGTAGATGTGATTTCTTTTCATAATATATATATATATATATATATATATATATATATATATAAAGAGAGAGAGATGAATTATAGTGCAGACAAGGCTTCAGGTGCGAACATACACCATGTAGGAAGTATAAATGCATAGTAATGTATTTCCAAAATACACCGGCACTACCTGATTGTTAATATTTGATATGCACTATCAAGCATTTTTAAATGAATTAGAGTTGAAAATCAATGAGAATCAAGCCAAATATTTCTAAAGTGTATTGTCAAGCATTTTCAAATGCATCAGAATGCACAATCAATATAATGAGAATCAGGTAGTGCGAATCAAGTAGTGCATTATGCATTTGAAAATGCTTTACAGTGCATAGATAATTGCTTAACAAATTCACTATTAGATTTGGTGTTTCCGAACATTGTGTGGCGTATTTTTGCAAATCAAATAGTGAATTCGCACCCGAAGCACTGTATATTTAATGCAGACCATGCTTCGGGTGGGAATTCACTATTAGATTTGCAAAAATGCGCCACACAATGTTCAGAAATGCACAACAATGAAATGCACAATGCACCACACCAAAAAAAAAAATACATTACGTGCATTTTCAAACACTTTGTGGTACATTTATACGCAATGTTGAAAAAATCGCTAGGCGCCTAGAGGGCGCCTGGGGACCGCCTAGGGCGCCTAGAACGCCTAGGCGGGCGCCTAGCGCCTAGGCGCGATTTTTGCAACAGTGTTTATACGTACCTAATGGTGAGTGACCGCATGGGAAGCAATGTCCACAGGAAACTTGAGCCTATATATATATATATATATATATATATATATCACATTCTTTGAGTCTGTCTGTTAGCACACTTCACTTCAAATATGCATATACATCTTGTGTGTGATGACTGTACTGTGTTAATTAGTTCAATTCATCATCATTAACAATTACACTACATTTATCCTATCACATCATATGTATATAATTCCAACCAATTGAAAATGAAATCATCCCATCCACAACTTATGTCAATGACAACATAAGAGATACACACTACATATATATAACAAACAAATTACAAGAGGTTTAAGATCAATGTATGTATGAAAAGAAAACATGCACAGATAATCCTAAACCTGTTAGCAGTTCATATCAAACCAAATCATAACAACAACCTAAGCTACACATATATATAGAGAACACCAAACAAAAACCACCTTTTCTTTTTGTTTTTTTGTTATCCAGACATGCATACAGTGCTTGGTTTTACCATCCGCCGCCGCCGCCTCCGGCGGCGCTGCCACCGTGGGTTCCATTCCAATACCCGTTACTTTCTCCTTGGGCTCTATACTGGTCAAACCCGGATTTCAAATCCTCAAGATTGGGGAAAAAGACTCGAGCCGCCCCACTCTCCTCCACTTGATGATTCCCAAACCCATTATTCCCAAACCCGTCTAGGGCGGCGGGTTTCACATCATGCAACGGGAACAGCAACCCAGAAGAGAACACCGCCGTGGACGGGTCAGAACCGGGTATAGGAATGTGAAACGGGTTGAGATGATGCAAGATTCCAGAATTGGGTGGTGGGTAGGCCAAATTGAGGTCCTGCCCGGCATTATTAGGGTTTAGAAGAAAGCACGGCGATGGAGCGGAATGATCTGGAAGCTTCTTGGAAGCCGAGGAGGAAGAAGATAAGGAAGAAGAAGAAGAAGAAAAAGAAGAAGAAGATCTTCGGTTCTTCCGTGAACCACCCCCCACGGGAACATTCCTCATGGAACCCCCTTCAGTCCAGTACCTTCGACAAGTCTTACAAAAGTACCTGGGCTGAGAAAGACTGTAATTGTTGTAGTAACAGAATTTGGTGTTTGTGGAATTGCAGCGAGGACAGTTCAATGCTTTTTCCTTTTCTGGCCTGGGTTTCTTCTCTCCTCTTGTTGTTTCCACAACATTCTCCACAACCCCAATACCCTAAAATCATAATTTTTTAACAAAAAAAAAAAAAAAAAGCATAAAAAATAATTAGTACCCAAAAGATACAGATTCAGAAAGATATCAAACAGCAAGCAAACAAACAACAACAAAAGAAGAAAAACAAAATTTAAAGTGATTTATATGGGAAACTTTATTGGATTGTGGAAAGGGGAAATTTTTTTTTAAAAGAAGGGAAATTTCAAGACCCAAAGCAAAAGATGGTATCTCTCTCTATCTCCAAACCCTAGAAAGATATAGATGTTCATCATATATGAAAAAGAAAAAGAAAATATAAAAAAAATTGTTGGTTTTGTATGTTTACCTGTGGCCACTGATGAGCAGTATCCATCTGAACAAAAGAGTGACAAAAGTGGAGAAAAAGAAAAGAAAAAAAGCTAACGATCTGAAAAAAGCAAAGAGTGTTGAAGCTAGCTTGGTAAATAATAGGAGGAATAGAGGAGAACAAAAACTATGTATCCCACTTAGCTTTCAACCAATTCAAGAAAGAAATTAAAGCAGCTGATGAAAGGCAGCCCAGAACTCAGTATTTCAGATGGTGTTTGGCTGTTCCATATAGCAGCTGCTAGCTAGCTAGTTATGTAATTGGAAAAAAAAGAAAAAAAGATTTCATTTGGTGGTGGGGGAGGGGGTCTCCCTTTCTGTTTCTTCTCACTTCTTTCCTCCAATTCTTTTTTTATTCTTTTTCCTACTTTTTCTCTTTTGGATTCTAGCAAGAGCTTTAATTTGTTGAGCTTTTTCCCTTGCTCATATTTAATAATGATGACTACAATACGGTTTGTATCACTATACACTTTATCCGTCAGTGTACGATATTGGGATGATCATGCATACTCAGTTGGGGATGGGAAAATTTGGGGAAAAAAAATTAATTCTTTATTTTGAGAAGGGAATTTTGTATTTTTTATCATTCAGATCAGTTGTATATATATATATATATATATATATATATATATATATATATATATATATATATATATATTTTCATACAAACACCCTTAAAATACAAACATGTGGCCATATATCGTGCACACGCCTAAAAGCGGGTGTGCACACATCCGTGGACGACAATGCATACATCCAATGTAGTATTCATGTGTGAATCTACAAAATTTGAGCCGGCGTGCACACGTCCATGAACGACAGTACACACCGACAGGCATCACACAAAATCATTAAAACTAATCACAACCTTAGATACCCAAAATCTAACGATCCAAAAATGTCCACATGTTTGTATTTTAAACTCTATTTTTACATTAATGTAATTATATTTATATATATATATATATATATATATATATATATATATAATTTAATTTAATTATCAATTTAAACTTTTTATATTTGAAATAAAAACTAAAAACACATATGAGGGCCACACCCGTAAAACGTATTATATTTGAATGAACTAAAAACTATATATTACGTATTGCACTTGTGACAATCTTACTCCATACTTATTCAACCTAAACCGTGGAAACTGGAAAGCATATGTTTGGAAGATTTAGGGAGTATAGAGTGGACAACAAAAAGACAAGGCATGTGACAGGTACTATCCACAAGTGGGTTTCCATTGCTCGCCAATTGGATGACAATCAAAACTTCACTACTGACTTTAGAGCATATATAAAAATGGAATTATTTTTTTCATTTTCTTACAAATTTGTTTATATTCTGCAAACTTCAAGATATTTTTGTTTCACTTCTAGCTCCTTTCAAGAAAATCTATAGTCACTCAAAATTGTATTTGTACTACTTCTTTTCCATCTAATATTTTCAAGATGAAAACTACCTTACTGTTATATCTGATCAAAAGTTATAATTAGTAGTAAAGAAGTACTGGTATATTAGTTAGCGTCATGCTTTAAGCTGTCACCCAACAAACATGGTTTGATACCAATTGTCAAGATCAAACACTTATCGATACGTCAAAAGATATAGCTAGTAGCGAATGTACAATTTTATTTTCTTATACTTGTGTAGTAGTTAGCGCCACATTTCAATAATAAGATAATCGACTCGTCTCTCTATGACATCACCCAGCACATATTTATAATATAATTTAACTAGTGTTTGATAAATTAAAAATTTATCAAATATTAATGTGAAATATTACTATTAATTAATAATAAAAAAATCCATTTTATATTATTTAATAATAATGCAAAACATATGCATTTTGCAAATTTTTTGCCCATCTAACAACGTCGTTGTCGCGGATAAATTAATTGACTCTATTGTAAATTATTTTCTATACAAATTTGAAGTAGCTTTGCCCAAGCCAATTGAAACAATATCAAATGAGCGGATGGAATTTCATTGTCAAGGTTTAGGTGGTTTTATTAGATTAATATAAGATTAAAGAGGATTAATTAGTTTTCCAAAAAAAAAAAGAGGATTAATTAATGATTTGATACCAAGACTAGGTGGTCTAATGGTATTTGGATTGGACTTTTATTTAGAAGGTTGTGAGTTCGAGCCTCAGTGGAGGCGTTATTGGTGATGGCATCACCAAGACAACATTTTGTTTGTCCTAAGTTTCGGGCTCAGTGGAGGCGTTATTGGTGATGGCATCATCAAGACAACATTTTGTTTGTCCTAAGTTTCGGGAAGTAAAAATGATTTGATGGCATCACCAAGACAAAATTTTGTTTGTCTTAAGTTTCGGGACGAAACTTCTTTTAAGAGGATAGAATGTGACAATCCAAAATTTATTTTATAAATCCAATTTAAAAAAAATCCGAAATAGCCAATTTTCACTCCATGAAAATTTTTGCGATGTAATCGGTGTTGAATAAATTATTCTGAGCCACTTTAAATTAGTTTCGACACCAAGACTGGATTTAAATTCCAATATCCTAAAATTTCGAGTACATTGCGTGCCAAATTTTAAACTGAGAAACCTATCTGAGTGAAACCGGGAGAATTCTGAGAAGCTTAAACCAAGTGTTTATCTAGAAATCATTTTGGGAAAAAATCATTTTCAACTCCAAACTATTTTAAATAACAATTCTAGACTTTAGTCCATGATTCAAGGTGGACCACAAGCTTTCAAGGTTTTGTCTGATCTTTATAGCAGCAAGCAAAATTCTCACTTTGCCCTCAACCAATCATTGGCATTTATCTTAGGGTTTTAGACCCTATAAAATATCTCTTTAGCTACATTGTCTTCTCCTGATCTCTTCTTTGTCTTCCCAAATTCTTGTCTGCCAAGTAGAAGAAGAACAACACAGTAAGTTTTTCATCTCATCTCATCCCATCACCTCTTTTCCTTAAGGTTTCCATCCTAGCTTTCAATCTCTGAGTTTTGTTAGGCTTGGCTTGTGTGGTTTGTTTGAGATGTTTAGGGAGTGAAGGAGGTTTTAGCTAGCTAAGGAAGAAGGTGGAATCCAATCTAGAAGAAAAGAAAGCTACAAAGGTATAACTCATGAACTCCCAAGCTATTTTCAAGACTCTGTGAAGTCTTTTGATTAGTAGAAATGAGTAGAAATGCTAGATATTTGAAGTGTTTGAGTTATTACATGATCTATTGTTGATATATGATGTGTTGTTGATGGTTTGGATGGGTTAGAATTGCTTGAGTTGTTGTTGCAGATGAAATGAAATCATCTGGTGCACAGACTGTGTGCACAAGTATGATTAACGGCTCTAGCCAACGGCTCAACAAGGAGACCGTTGGCTAGCTCCCTAGAAGACCGGCCCTAGGACAGGGCCGTCGCCTAGAGCCGTGTCTAGGGAGGTTGGAGGCGGCGGGTCTAGCCTAGCCTCGCCCTAGCTTCGTTGAGTTTTCCTTGTGCAGTGGTCGGGCCCTTGTGGCTCAGCTACGTGTCTTTTTGGACAAGGTGTCACGGGCCCTTGTGGCTCGATACCTCGGGGCCGTCTTGACGCACGTTTTGGCTTTGGTTTCGTTGAGTTTGGAGAAGATTTGAGCCTGTTATGCTAGAATTTGTAAAATTATTTGTTGTAGAAGTATGTTCAGTATATGAGAAGGAGAATTATTAGGCTATGTGTATCTGTTTGTGTAGCTTATGTTGAAAAAAATAGCTTAAAAATGGCATAAAATGGCATGTTAAGTGGCTATTTTGTAATACAATTATCAGTGGGGTCCACTTCCGATTTGGGTCGGGTCAAAGTGGATTCGGATTCTTCGTAGTGAGACGAAGAGATCGATATATTGTACGCTCAAAACGGATAATGGGTGAATGAGATATTGATTCTCAAAGTAGACCCATTTGAGTTGGAAAATGAAGGGAAAAAGTGAGCTTTTGTCCCACATTGTTTTGGATTGAAGATTTTCCCCCCTTATATACAAGTGCTCTTTTGAAGCTTGTAGAATTGTATAGCATAGAGGCTCTCTCGCGCGGGGGGGGGGGGGTGCAAATCAAATTCCAACTAGCAGAGATTGAAAAAAGGCTTGATACAAGCCCGAGCTCGTGTGCGCCGGCACCTACGGGCACGAATGTCGTCCGGAAACTGGCTGGCTGGCCTTGCGGGCTAAGTTATGCCAAACTCCGGAACAATTTCCCAACACAATGCCACTAGGTTGGCCGAAACTGGAGCAGTTTCGGGCATGGGCCGAAACTGGACTGCTTTCTGTGACCGTTGGGTTCAATTACGGAATTAATTCCAATCTTTATTTTTGAATTGAAACCCATGGTAAATGTTGCTGTTACAAGGTGTAGTGGGGGGTGCCTTAAAGTGCCTCAGTAAAAGCTATTGGCTCCTTCACCCCTATATAAGAGAGGTAGTGAGAAGCAGATTTTCACAACACTACAGCACTATCACTGTACACGAAACATTGTTTTCCAGCCTCAAAATTCTGCTTCTACTCCCTTTCTTTGCCTACTGTGTTCATAACCACGTCTTGCTCGCCGGATTCTTTGTTTGAATGCTCAAACACTGAATCATAGCAAGTTTTATCCTGGGAAGCCTAGGCCACAACGCTCCTAGCATCTTCAAGAGGTGGCAAATAAGGTTTTAAGGAAAGAGTGCTCACTCGACTCTTGCAAAAACCCAACACCAAACACTAGCCACTTTTCTTCATCTTTTCTTCCCTTCTTTCCAGAAAATAATAGTCAATTTTATTTGATTATTATTTGTTTTCCTACCAACGGTACCAACAGTCTTAAAACCTTATTTTTGTTTTCCCGTTGGTGGTCTTCTCCGAATTTCCTTGAAGAAAAAATGGAGCATCCTGTACTGCCAATTGATGGGGAGGATAATGTTGTTGCGGACAACAATGGAAGAAACGGCAACAATAACGTTGTTGCGGATAACAATGGAGGGAATGGCAACAATGTTGCTAATTCACAAGCTACAGCAGTGAACGTTGGTTCACAAGATGGTGGGAGCACTGAGGGATATATTCCCATGTCTCGGGTACCTTCGGTACCGAGTGGTTCGGCTGAAAAGCCGGAGGAGTTCACCGGTGTTGGTTCGAACTTCAAGAGGTGGCAACAGAAGATGTTGTTCTACCTAGCAACTCTCGGCTTGGCAAGGTTCTTGTCCGAGAGTGTTCCCGAGTTGAAGGAACAAGATGCACAATCCGTGATGGCAGTTGGGTATTGGAAGGATTCGGACTTCCTTTGCCGAAACTACATCCTAAATGGATTGTGCGACACGCTATATGATGTATATCGAAAGATAAGCACATCAAAAGCG